TGGTTCTACTGTACTGATATCTGCCCCACACAGCATGTTTCAAATATACTGCATGAGCACTAGCAGGAGACCCCCAAGGCACACACTTCTGAGAATGCCTGCCCAAGATTTGGGATACAGAGTGTGAAGCCATATACGTATATAGCTAAAACTGAAGGTGAGAAGAGGTGTAACAGCTCATCAATGGAGGACAAAGAAGGATCCTCATTAAAAGCAGTTTGATGCAAGTAAACATCCCAATTCGCTTGGCCAAATTGCCAGCATAGGCTGTGAGGAGGTGGTGAATACAAATGAGAAGTATGAAGGACTGGAAAATGATTGCTGTCATACAAGTCCAGGAGGACAGACCAGGTAAGTCTAGTGCAGATGATGAAGAACAAACCAAGAGATCTATGCATGCGAGAGTGAATACGAGGGTCAAAATGGGTAGGAGTACCCACATTTAAAACATGGAGGGGGAGAGAAGTGAGAAAAGCCTCTGAATGCCGCACAAGTCACAGTGAGACCCCCCCCCCCCCAAGAGGAAATGGTAAGCATTAAACTCGCCAAGTAACAGAAGGGGTGGCGGTAAGGAAGAAACCAGAAATGTAACATCCGATATAGATAATACTGGAGAAGGAGACAAATACAAAGAACAGAATATATACCACTTATTCAAGTAGATGCATGCTGCAGTTGTAGGTAGAAGGTCGGTAGACAGCCCAGGGAGGTACTACCGTCCTGCCAAGTAAGTGTAAAACGGAATCCTGTAATTGTTTTACATGATGGTAGGATTGCTGTTGTCTTTTTTCTGTCTCTTAAACATGCAAGATTTCAGGTATGTCTTGCTACTTCTACTTACACTTAGGTCACACTACACATGCATGTACAAGCATATATATACACACACCCCTGGTTTATCTTCTATTCTTGAGAGTTCTGATTTGTTTATTACCTTACATGGAATGGAACGAATACTTCCACGTAGATGCGGGGGTAAAAGGCGATTAAAATGCCGGAGCAAGGGGCTAGGTAACCCCTTCTACGTATAAATATAAATAAAAAGAGGAAAGTACCTCTTTTGGCCACCTGCAGAGTGGATACGGCCAGTCTTAAAAAAAACCATGCTGGTGTTATATCTGGAATAGAAAAAGAGCTGATGGTAAAGGTACCCATGGTATAGAAGTGCTCTTTCAAAAAAGTTCCATCAATTAATAAATTAACATAGCAAGATGGGATGATACAGCAAGGTAATAGGAGTCTGTGAACAAACACAAACAGGGAAATGGGTAGCAACACTAAGCTCATCACACTGCATTACACTGAGGACCGAAGCACACATTCTACGAATGTGCCAGATTGGGATCAGATTGAAGCCTATACGTTAAGCTAAAACTGAAGGTAGAGGTTTACGCTCAGAAGGAGACAAGAAGATCCTCATTAAATGGAGTTTGAGCAGTAACATCCAACTGAGCAAATGCCAGCATAGAATTGGGACGGTGGTGATAAATGAGAAGTATGAAGGATGGAAGAATGATGTGTATCAGTCAGGAGGAACAGACAGTGGTTAGTGCAGTGTGAGACAACAAGGATTTAGCTGCTAGATATATCGGGTCAAAATGGTGGGTACCCAATTTAAACATGAGGAGAAAGTGGAAAACTTGATGCAATGTGAGACCAAGATATGTGTAGCATTAAACGCCAGTAGAAGGGGTGGAGTAAGAAGAAACAGCAAACTGGTCATCCGAATATCAATACGAGAAGGAGATGAACAGATTTACAACTATTTCAGAGATGAGGAGTTAGGAGAAGGTCGTAGACAGCCCAGGAGGTACTACGTCCTGCCAAGTAGTGTAAACGGAATCCTGTAATGTTTACATGATGGTAGGATTGCTGTTGCTTTTTGTCTTAACATGGCAAGATTCAGGTAGTCTTGCTAATTCTACTTACACTTAGGTCACACTACACATGCATGTACAAGCATATATATACACACACCCCTGGGATGAACCTCCACACTTGCAAGAGAGTCAGTGAAAGGTGAAGAACCAGGTACAGAGACTGGAAAGGAAAAATGTGCAGGTAGAATAAGGGAAGGAGGAGTTAAGGGAGATTTTAACAATGGGGATTTTGTGGACATCAGAGAAGTAGAGGGGTGATGAGGAGTTGTTGCGCAAAGTCTTGTAGACATAGAAACTTGTGAGTGAGAAGATGAAGAGGTGAGAATAGAATGAGGTGGCAAGGTAGGGACCTCTGAGTCCAGCACTGCAGAAGAATTAAGAGAAAGGGGCGACTGTGGAAGGGATGACCACAGAGGAGGCTGTGAAAGTTGGGACCCTAGAGGTTGGGGGTCGTTTAGTAACTAGAGAATCAGAAATACAGGGAAGTCTCCCCTGGAGGCGTAGATGCTAGACTGCCATGGCATGAGGAAAGCCGTCTGTCTCTTTGAAACAAAGAATTTCTCACTCATTTAAGTAAACTTGGCAGTGGTGAGAGTAAGATGGGCGAGCTTCATTACAACTAAGGCAAGAGGGAGGTAGACTACAAGATGCATTGGTATGGTCGTTAGCACAGCACTACAGACTGGGCATTCAGCCATGGACCTGCAATATTTCACTGGATGACCAAAACACCAGCAATTTCTACAATGTTGCAGTGTAGGGATCACCTTTCGAACTTGTAAACAGTGTCCCACAATATAAACTGAGGACTGAGGTAGCATTTCCGCCTGCAGGCAGGTAGGACACAGATGTCTACTTTGAGGATTGGGAGCTCTTGGAGCTCAAGCTGTTCCAGAATGTCATCACCACATGTCTGGAAATTACACTGGACAACGGTATGAGGTAGAATGACAGTACCACTACAAGAATTGAGAGAATGATGTTTTTCAGTTGTTACAGGAATAGCATCTATGGTTGTAGGGAGAGAAAGATTGTGAGCTTGACTAGTATTCTGTACCATGATAATGTGTGTACCGCTCTTGAGAGCATGAGAGGATATATCTCGACCAACGAGGCATGGGAGGGCCTTGCTGATACTATGATCGGAAAGACAGTCAGTAGAAGTCAGTCACTGAGTAAAAAACTTAGTCCACTGTGTATTTTGAAACATAGCAAGTAAGGGTAGTGAGTGTCGTGCCAGTCTTTTCTGGGCAGAGTGAGAAGTAAGCAAAGGAGTATCATCAGTTAATGGTCTTGGGCGTTTAGGTGTGCAATCGGAGTTGGTCCAACGTGGGATGGGCGGGTGATCCAGAAGCATGGTCAAAGAAGCATGGAGGTCGGATGTATCAAAGGAGTCAGGTAGAACCTGACTCCTTTGACACATTTGGTAGGGTTGGAACAAGGTGCAGTAGCAGACAGGGGCCTGGGAGGAGCTGGTTCATGGATTTTAGACTCTGTGGTTATATCACTTCTATCTTTTTGCTTTTTAGAAAAAAAAAGAATAAAAAAAGGGAGGAACGTGGAGGGATAGCTCCTAGGAGGAATGAAAGGGCCGTAAATCCCCCTCTGAGCCCAAGAGGACCCCAGCACCGTAAGTAGTGCAGATGTGCATGAAACCCGTGCCATACGCTACTCTTCATGCCAGTAAACCAGCAATCCAGGATAGCAACCTCACATCTACCGACCCACTTCAGTGGACAAAAGAGAGGGTGGCTGGATACCCGCCACAAAGCATTTCTCCTTCAGCCACCACCCCCTGGGAATCTGAAAGGCAGCCTCCAGAGCTGCACCTGTCACTCAAAAGACACCCCAAGCCACCCTCGGGAGATTGGAGAGGGATCGGGACATCCCCAAGTGATCCAGATTCCAAGGCAAACTACACCACCACCAAGGACCTCAATGGAATGGGATGGACCCAGGTACCCTTCCCCCCTATCTAGGAACTAGAGTACCTGTGGGAAAAATCCCAAAGGCTGAAAACAGGAAGGGGATAGGGGAGGGATGGGGAGATGAGGAAAGGGAAAGGAGGGATAGGGAGGATGGGATACGGAAGGAAGGATTGGGGGTAATTAGGTTCGCTCTGAGGAAGTAAACCAAAAGGTCCAATTCCTCAGACCAACAGCCTCTTTACCACGACAAGGAGCCCCCTCTTAACCCCTAAACTGTCCAAATGTAGATCTATGTTCGCTTGCGTAGCACTCTGAACGTAAATCTACGTTTTTTTACATGCTTTCAAATAGAGAAAATCAAGGTCAGAGCACTACGCACGTATATGTAGTTTAAGGGTTAAAGAGGTTCAAGATTGTTATCCTCAGAAATTTCAGATCATTGTTGGAAACACACTATATATTAATAAACTTATCAGGAGTTTGTATTTCATTAACAAGTCTCACTGTTCACTCTGTATTTCGCATAGATAACAGTAACAAAGTGATTTTATAGCTGCTTACTCACCTAATTAAATTTATAAATGTTCTGTAGATATCAGAAGCACTTATCACTTTAACTAATGAAGCAAATGTACCATAGTCATGTATATAAATTAATTTAAAGTACCTCAAAATAAATAAAATCAGATGGACAAGATATATATAAGCTATAAAAATAAAACTTTAGCCAGTCATTTTTAACATAGTCCTTGTCCACCAAGGCACCTATGATAATTATTAGTATGTAAATACATGGATAAGAGCTAAGCCCATGGAGGTCACACAGCTTCCATCAATGCAGGGTGGCTTGAAGAAAACATATTACTGTATTTTCTGGCAAATAAGGACCTCTTTTCTTCTTGGAAAAAAGACTTGGAAAATTACTCTGAGCCTTATATGCTCAAGATCAGGGTCAAGGGTCGGCTTTGGGTTATGCTTTAGCATCTGTTTACTAACATTACATTACAAATGCTTGGAAACACTGCCAGCAAGCAGCCGACGCTCGGACACTATATATTCCAGAAAATATGGTAAATTATGCATATGTTAAGTAAATGAAGTGCTGTGCGTCAAAGTTCCTCCTCCACTGACTGATTCAATTCAGTAAATTTATTTTGCTGAGTGAACTCATATCAGAAAAATCTATCCTCACCTCTAATAGACATTTCTTCTCTATAAGCATCTTTTCTTTGTCTTCAGTCACTTCAATTTGTTGTTTAGCCATCCTTGCCTCCAGCAGCTGACACTGAAGATCCTTCTGCTTCAGCATTTTATCAACATGCTGCAAGGTAAAGCAATATGTTATACTTATTACTGATATTTAACCCGTAAACAATCCAAACGAATACACACGTTTTTCAACATTTGAAAGTATGTAAAAAAAGTAGATCTTTTTTTTTTTTTACATTTGAAAATGTGTAAAAAAACTTTGATCTACTTTTTTTTTTGGTTATATTTGAGAATATGTAAAAAAAACGTAGATCTACTTTTGTAGCACTACACATGTGAACGTTGATCTGCTTGGACCGTTTACGGGTTAAGAAGGCACTGGACAGGCACCTAAAGTCAGTACCTGACCAACCGGGCTGTGGTTCATCCATCAGCTTGTGTGCGGCCAGCAGTAACACCCTGGTTGATCAGTTCCTGATCCACCATGAGGCCTGGTCTCAGACCGAGCTCCAAGGGCGTTGACCCCCGCAGCTCAGTAAACTCCAGGTAAGCACAGTGTTGTAGTCCAGTATTAAGTACAGTGTTGTAGTTAAGGTTAAGTATAGTGTTGTAGTACAGTGTTAGGTACAGTAGGTCCCCACTTACACGCCAGGTTAGGTTCCAGGCTACTGCTGTAAAGCGGAAATCGCCGTAAACAAGAACACTATTCTTTCCACTTATAAATGCATATAATGTCAGATAATAAGTTTATGTTACAAAAAACGCGATATCTAATAATGATAGAGATCTCCAGTGAATACTAGAAAAGACTGCCCTTCTAACATCCAGCCTGTTACTGGGCTTTTACAAGAAGTAGTCAGTATCCTGATCCAATTATCCATTAGAATTTAGTAAGATTCAATAGTGTTTCAGGATTACAACTGGTAGGCTACTAACTAAAGAATTTAAAATTTAATAAGTTTATTAATAACAATGAAGTTGTCTAGGTGTATAATATCAAAGTAAATTAAAGTAATCAATTGAATATAATATAGGATACAAGTTCCTACACTTCTCTCGTGTACAGTAATATTGTGCTGAAGGCACATATCACATCTTTATAATCTTTTATAATGTACGTATGGAGTCCGCCTGGACTACATACCTACACCTACCTACATAGCTACACAATATTTAATGTGGCCCAGAGCCATATTATTACCATCGACATACCATGTTCACTAAGTTTAATCGTTTAAAACAACTACCTTTAGATGCCATCATAAACAAAGGGAGAAGTAATGAATAATTCAAGCCGAGAATTTTAAACAAAAGCGTTATGTATTAAGGTGAGTGACAATGTTTTCCCTCTGCCCGGCTACCACACCTCCATAGTACATAAACATAAAATGTTTATATGTTATGTAACATGCTTCTTATATAATTTTGAAGAAAATATCATAAATGGATTAATGAAAATGTCTATACTGATGTAAAATTAGACATTTAATGTGCCCAAGAGTGATTATTATTACATAATAGAGAGATGTGCTCATGAAGAATGTAAGCAAACTGGGTGGCCCGTGCCGTATTTGAAAGACCACTTGCCATGGAAAGTTTTGGTCATAATTTGAGATCGCTGTATTAGTGGAACGCCGTAAGGCGAAATACCGAAAAGTGGGGCCCCACTGTATATATACTCTTGCACATGCATGTGTAGTGTGACCTAAGTGTAAGTAGAAGTAACAAGACATATCTGAAATCTTGCATGTTCCTCCCTGGGTGGCTGCTGTCTACCAACCTACTACCTTGGTTATATATTTCTATTTCTATAAATATATATATTTTTCTATTTCTAACATCATCTCTTAAGTATTAGCAAGAATTCTCCTCAAAGCAATAAACCTCGCTATCACACAGCTGCTACCTACTACTACTACTACAACTACTACCACCAGTACTACCAGTAGTGCAACTACTACTACAAGCTCTACTACTACCTACAACAATTAAATTATGCTTCGCACCTCACTCTTTACCTATATATACCTCTCTGTGTTCCAGTATTGTTTTTAATGGCTTGACAAAGCTCCTAGAGAGCAAAACATTGCCACAATAAAATGTCACACTAGTTGCACTTGTGTCATTTTACCAAACATATTGTCAGAAATTCTACCAACATTATTACTATCTTCGTTATGTTTCATTCCAGTGACTGAGATTAAAAATTCAACTTTTTAATAAAGAACTCTTGCTTTCATGTGGATTACAATTGTAATTTATAAACTGTGCTGCCCAACATGTGAGAAATAAGAAAAACAAACTCTGGCAAACGAGCAAATGTATTTTCCGGCAAATAAGGTGCATTTTTTCCCCCACAAAAGGTCTTTAAAAATCATCCTGCACTTTATATGCTCAAGGCCAGGGTCAGGGGTAGGCTTTGGGTTACACTTTGGCAGTTGTTTACTAACATTACATTACAATTGCTTAGAAACATTATCTAATGCATCTTAAATGCTCGTGTGCCTTATATACTGGTGCATCTTATATGCAGGAAAATATGGTATTCAACAAGTGTTTTAACTTAGAATATTTCTTACCGCTTCTCTCTCTTCGTATTGTTTGATTAAGTCTTGCAATCTGCCGGCCATGTCTTGGTTCTCATCTCTCAGTTGAGTGTTTTTATCAGCATTTTCCTTCATTAAATTTGATATTTCTGACAGAGTGGTGTTAAATTTAGCTGATACTTCCTTCCTCCGTTCTTCTTCTTCTCGTAGCCGAGTTAAGTTTTCATCCTGATGAAGACATGCATGAAAAATAACAAGACATTTTTCATATAATAAGCCAGAAGTAGCTTATCTTTGGCTACATTTCCTATTTTATATGTCAAAATAAATTACTTTCCACATCCATAATTCAAATTAGATAAGGAACATTGCTCAGTTTTCACCCTTTACATCTCCAGCTCTTCTATTTAATTTACTGACAATAACAAACAAGAAATATCTCATACCTAGGCATTGCTAAAAAAGGAATGATGTTTGGAATTAGTTGGCAAAAATACTTTAAGTGAAACCTCAATTTAACAGACTAATAAGGGGAGAGAGAGTGAGTCTGTTAAAAGTCAACTGTCTAATTCAATCAGAATGATGAGACTTTTTTACTGGTCATAACAACAACCAACAATTCTGGATTTAAAGGCATTTGTCCATTAAACTCAAAAGAAAATTTACCAAGCAAACAAATAACTCTGAATACAAAAATTTTGTTAAAATCAAAATTAATTTACCCAGAAAACTGCAATCACAACCGACAATTCTGAATTTAACAGACTGTGTCCAATGTTTCTGAACATTGTCCAGCCACAGATTTTGTCCAATACACCCAAAGTTCATTAAATCAGAGTTTTACTAAAAATACTGCAGGTTGTTGCTGTGTGCAGAATTCATCATCATAATGCAGTAGCAACGTACAGGAGAGCCCTGTATATACACCACCTTCTTTTCGACGTTCCACACATTTTCATTAGCTTTTCAATTCAGCCATTATATGTATTCATTATATTCAGTGCTTTTACCGCTTTTCTGCCATTTTCATACAACAGATGCGTAAGGGAAGGGTGACGGGTTCCATAATTTAAGGCAAGTATTTTATGTACTGTGTATTTATTTTACTTTTTTATCTGCTTTATATGTCTAGTTGTATTGAGCACTTAATATATGATAGTCTAAACACATTATCAGGCATTACAGATGTATTAAAATATTATAAAAAGGATTTTGTCCACCCACCAGTAATTTTCGCTTATCATATGGGGCTGCAAACCATAGGGCCATACGAACTGGGTCCGTCTATATATTATTCAATGAGATAAACGTTTTTAAGAATTTTGTACTAAAATTTATGGAGTTAAAAAAAAATGTTTTTAGGTACAGAAGAACATAAATTAAGATGCCATCTATTAGTGTATTTTCACAAGGCGCCTGAGAAACTGAGGCATTTTTTTGTCATGACACCATAATGCTTATTTATTACAGTATAAATTTAGTGAAAAATAGCTGTAGGTTGGTACAGGAAGGCAAGTAACGAATAATTTCACTTTATCTACACAATGCTGTGTCTGCAACACTCATTCACTTACCCTAGCTGTATTTATACAAATGTTGAATATGTTAGTGACTGATAACAGTGTGAAAAGTACAGTAGTTAAATGAGAAAGTGAGATAATCTTACAGCAATGCTATGATAAATGTTTGAGGTTGAAGTTCAGAAAGCCAACACAGCATAAACCATAATTTTTTTTTTTTTTTTTTTTCAACAAGTCGGCCGTCTCCCACCGAGGCAGGGTGACCCAAAAAAAAAGAAAGAAAATCATAAATATACTGTATCAATTATTTATCACCATATGAGTTGTATGTCTAACTAACAAATGTAACTAAATTAGTTATTTCCTACATAACAATCAATACATATGTCTTCATATATTTTGCATCATAATTGTAAAAAAAAAATGAAATGCTTATATTCAAATTAAGAGGGACACCAAGATTTACATACTGTATCTTTAACTTTTCAGATTCTGAGTTGACAGAAACTGCACCTGTCCATGAGAGTGACTCCCACCAGTGTTTATATATCCTTTGCTTCTCTTCCCCTGCATGACCAAAGTTTTAATAGATATGACTTCAAGAGTGTATAAATCTGTAGTGGAAGGAAGGAGGGGTAGGAGTCGGCCTAGGAAAGGTTGGAGGGAGGGGGCTAAAGAAGGTTTTGTTTGAGAGGGGCTTGAACTTCCAGCAAGCATGTGTGAGCATGTCAGATAGGAGCAAATAGAGACAAATGTTTTTTTAGGACTTGACGTGCTGTTGGAATGTGAACAAGATAACATTTATGAAGGGATTCAGGGAAACCAGCAGGCCGGACTTAAGTGCTGGAGATGGAAAATGCAGTGTCTGCACTCTGAAGGAGAGGTGTTAATGTTGCTGGTTTATAACTGTTATGTAAGTGCGCCTCTGGCAAGACAGTGATGGAGAGAATGATGATGAAAGTTTTTCTTTTTCGGGCCACCCTGCCTTGGTGGGAGACAGCCGTTGTGTTAATAGAAAAATAACAAACACTTTACATTGAGTACAAGTTGTCTCCACATTGGTACAGTAGAATAAATAAAGAGCAACACTCCCATTCTCATGTAACACACAATTTTTAGAAGGAATGACGCTCTGAATGAAGGCATATGAGAGGAAAAATTTTCTACAGTTACCCCCAGTAATAATATTGTGTACACATTTTCTCTGGTGATGGACTAAAGAAAACGTTATTCTTTCCGACACTCCAAGTGCAAAAACATCTCATGTTAATTTATTCTACTGTGGGTGTATTTATCATGTTTATATGTAATGTAGCATGATTATTATATAATTTTGAAAAAAATATCAAAGATAAATTAAGCAAAATGTCTATATTAATGTTTAATGTGACATTTAACCCTTTCAGGGTAGAGAGGCCCTCTCATAAACTTGTTCTCAGTCAAAAATTTTTTGGAAGAAAAAAAAAAATTAGTTTTTCTTATAAAATGACAGAGAATCTTTTCCCGATCATAATGACACAAAAAGTATGAAAATTGATGGAAAACATATGGAATTATGCTCTCACAAAGTTAGCGGTCTCGACAATGTTTACGAATCGGAGATTTCGCCCACTTTGAGCCCTATTTTTGGCTAATTCCAGTGTACGTGTCGACAAAAATCATAACTATTTCGCTAGAACTCCATTTTTTCTATCGAATGAGTACAAGAAACCACCCATTTACCGATTTCAACTATCCAATAAAGTGGTCAGAAATTGGCAATTTTGCCATTTTCACACAAATTTCAAAAGAAGCCAATTTCCAAATACAGTCCAGAATAAACAAGACAGACATTCCTGGCACTAAAATAACATTTCCTCTGTTCATTAGTCACGTTCCTGGGCCCCTCTTACATTTCTTTTGCTTTCCACTTTGAACTTTTATTCTCACAAAAAATAGAAGATTTACTGTTATGAAGACTACTGCATTAGTGTAAAAATAGTATAAATAATATCAGCGCACTTGTGAAAGAATATTAGACTCACCAGGTGATGCGTATTGGACATGTGGCATGATTTATTTACTTCTGAACTTTGGCAAAAATTTAACATTTATGCTACTTTGAGCTCAATTTCAAGATAGTTTTCATTGTGAAACCAATCAAAATCATCTCAGTTTCAGTAATATGTCTTCCATTCCATAAAATGAGATCAGGAAAACTAGAATACAACAAGAAATAGCATATGATAATGCAGTGCAAATTCGCCGTTTTAAACCAAAAACACGGTCAATTTTTTTTTTATCATTACGCACTGTGTGCTGCAGGATTTTTTTTATACTGTGCTCACTGACCACATAGACCCATTCTTTCATATGTAGGTCTACCAGCTTTCTCTCACTAGACTTGAAGGCACTAGAATTTACGCGTACTAATACGTCAATAACACTGGTGTGTAAAATGTACTAGTACGTCAGAAACCCTGAAAGGGTTGGCCGTACTAGTACAGCTTACGTGCAAGTGTTTTTGACGTACTAGTACGCCTAAATTCTAGGGCCCTCAAATCTAGTGAAAGCTGGTAGGCCTACATATGAAAGAATGGGTCTATGTGGTCAGTGTGCGCGGTATAAAAAAAATCCTGCAGCACACAGTGCATAATGAGAAAAAAAAACTTTGACCGTGTTTTTGGATTAAAACAGCGACTTTGCACTGTATTTTCGTATGATATTTATTGTTGTATTCTAGCTTTCCTGGTCTCATTTTATAGAATGGAAGACATATTACAGAAATTGAGGTGATTTTGATTGGTTTTACAAAGAAAAGTACCTTGATATATATATATATATATATATATATTTTTTTTTCAACAAGTCGGCCATCTCCCACCGAGGCAGGGTGACCCAAAAAAGAAAGAAAATCCCCAAAAAGAAAATACTTTCATCATCATTCAACACTTTCACCACACTCACACATTATCACTGCAAAGCAGTTTTGACAATAATATGAATATTTCCTTTGGTTTATATAAATTAGATCCATTTATAATTAATAGAATTTGGGTAGAATTTAATAATACACTGGACAAATAAATAGCTTGGGGTGAGTTTTGCAAAGGACCTATCCAAGTTGGCTCGCCGCGCATCACGTGTTTAACCGTTGTGGGATCTGATAGTGAGGTGCTGGCCGACCCCTTATATAGCTTCCTTGGATGCTTCACTTTCATAGTTCCTTGATAATGTGAGTAGTCACGAAAGCGCTTGGAATTTCTCTATTCTTTCAGAGTGGTTGTTTTGCATATTTTGAAATCACCTGTTTACTGTGATCTTATTGCACACACACACACACACACACACACACACACACACACACACACACACACACACACACACACACACACACACACACACACACACACACACACACACACATATATATATATATATATATATATATATATATATATATATATATATACAGTGGACCCCCGGTTAACGAACTTTTTTCATTCCAGTAGTATGTTCAGGTGCCAGTACTGACCGAATTTTTTCCCATAAGGAATATTGTGAAGTAGATTAGTCCATTTCAGACCCCCAAACATACACGTACAAACGCACTTACATAAATACACTTACATAATTGGTCGCATTTGGAGGTGATCGTTAAGCGGGGGTCCACTGTATATATATATACATGCCATGCACTGGCATGGCAAGACGTGTGGCGGGCTAGCTGCGGGATTTTCAATTATAAGTCCGGATCAACGAGGCTGACCAGGTTAAGATTCAACAGGACT